TTTTTTTTTTTTATTCTGACATGGAGCCGTCGTCAGAATAATAAAAAAAATGTCACCATAGGAATGCATTGCTAGATTCCTATTGGCTATTGCAAATGGAAATAGCCAATAGGAATCTAGCAATGCATTCCTATGGCGAAACATATTTTTTTTCATCTTTTTTTGACGGCAGCAGAACCGCCGGCCAATAGAAAACAGTTGGGCAGAGCTAGCTGTCACTGCTAGCACCGCACAATCGTTTTCTATTTATTTTTTTCTACTTTTTAAACTGTTTTTCTGTTCTGCTCGGTCCCACAGAGGGACCGAGCAGAACAGCCGAGCCGAATGCCGCTCAGCAGCATTTGGCTATTCACTCACTGCTGTTCGGCATCTATAAGAATAGACCGAACAGCAGCGAGTAGCCTGCTGGAGGTTCGGCTTAGCCGATCCAGATGTTGGATCAGCTGAGTCGAACTCCTTCTGCACTTCGGGTCGGCCGAACATGCCGAGCATGTTCGGCCAACCCGAAGTCACCTGATGTACTGCTGATTTCAGCCGATATACGGCTGAAATCAGCCGTACCAGCCTGAAGTGAATAGCCGAACAGCGTTCGGCTCACTTTGCTTCAGGTCGGCCGTTCACTCGGCTGCCTATGGCAGCTTAGTGAATAGACCCCATAGTCTCCTATGGCACTTTCACATTCATATCTAGACAGTAAAAGGTAGGATGCAAAATGATGGTAGCTGCTGATCTCTATAAAGTATTATCATATCTTTGCTTTCATACATAATATGCATTTCAACAGAAAGCAAAGAAAAAGCCCTACAATGCATTTTGTTATGTGTTTTTTTTAATTATGGAGTACAAACTGCAGTGACTCATAGCAACCAGTCAGATTGTACTATATTGGTATGAATACAGCTAACTTAAAGGGGTTGATTTACTAAAGGCAAATGGGCTGTTCACGTTGCAAGATAATTTTCACTTTACAAAGGAATTTTCCCTTCGTGAATGTGGTGAAAATCATGTTGCAAAGAATGCCTGTTCACCTGAAAGGAAATTAAATAATAAACAGTATTTTTGTCAGAGCTTCACCTCATTCACTAATGTAAGGGAACATTCCCTTGCAAACTGAAAATTCAATTGCAAAGTGAACAGCCTATTTACCTTTGGTCTACCAACCCCAAAATATCCGCAAACTCTCACAATAGTAAATACAGCAATACAAAGCTTACATTAAAAGTTCTGTAAATATCTTTTTTTACTTTGTCAGAGGTCACGTGACCTCCAAGGTCCCTTCTTCTCTCTCTATCTCCAAGGGCTGGGTTCAAAATCTAAAAAAATGGTGTGCATGCGGCCTTTGTTGTATCGACAGTGGTTCTCCATACAGGAACCTCTGCCAATTGTAAACAATGAGTTATCTAGAAAGAATAGGCTGCGGGAATATGTATGAAGTAATATTTCGGTTTTGTGGCAGCTGACAAAGACAGAACTTGCAGGGAGATTATTATTTCAATATGTTAAACAGAATGAGGGATTTGATTATGTGGGTTACTGTCCTTTCAAAATAGTAATTGTTCTCTGCACTACATTTTTATAACATTATACCATATTCCAAGTGTAAAAGCTTCTACCATTCACTAGACATGTGCACTGCCAAAAAATGTGTTTAGTTTCGTTTCGTTTTAAATTCGGATTTGTGTTATTTCGTTTTTCAGGATTCGGGTGTGAAAGTCAATTCGGATTCGGACGAAATTCGGTAGCGTTAGTACGAACGTTCGTTTCGGTTTCTGTTCTTATTCGTTTCTTATTCGTTTCGTTCGTTCGTTTGCAGCAAAAGTGACATTTGACATGTCTACCATTCACCAAGTATCACAACGCACCAAAATATCATTAACAGGGTATCCAGACAAACATAAGATTTAATGCACACTGAAAAGTTTAACATTATTTAGAAGACACATCATTACAGCAGTATTAAATTAATGTACTGTATAGTGGTATCAAAACAATGTATAAAAAAAATGCAAGCTCCAATTTTGTATTTTTTTAACTTAAAACTGAACATCAAGCAGATAAAAACCCTAATGTTACGCGTTCATTAAAAAATCACTATGAGTATTTTTAAAAGCAACCAGAGCTTGTCCCTGAATTGGATTTGATACATACCAACATCCTGGACAGGAGGACAGAACAGAGTAAAAGAGGTATGAGCTCATCAGTTTGCAACTTCTCCTTCATTGTCCATTAACAGACTGGGGATAGGTAAAATACCATGTTGTGCTACTTAACTGTAGTAGAGAAAAGTTTGTTTTTCAGACTGGTTATGGTATCTGACAGGGCTGTGTAAATCTCAGGAATGAATGTCTGTGAAGGTTCTCATGGTATATTTGTAAAAAAATAAATCAAGGCAACTGGACTTGCTGTATTTTTCTTGAAGACGTTTCACTGGTCATCCTTTTGAGAAAGCTAGTGGATGTTCAGCAAAACGTCTTCAAGAAAAATACAGTAACTCCAGTTGCCTTGATTTATTTTTTATAGATATCAGGAATGAATGGACAGAAATAGAAGATATTTGGCAGGTAAAACAGCCCTGCTACATGTGTTTCATATACGTATTCAACTGCTTGCCTGGAGTTCAGCTTTAAGTTAAAAATACCATCAAATAATCATAAGACAATAAAATAAAAGTCAGCTAAGATTTTTCAATCTCAACTAGTTTGCTAAAGACTTAGGCAGTTTAGACACCCATGGTTCCGATGTGGAACAGATTAAATGTCTGTAAGCAGACTGCAACTGCTGCAATTAGCCATTTTTTACTAATCCTGTGGAAATGATATTGCCATTGTTGACCCAAGTTAAAGGATAGGATAGGGTTTATGGACAATTCGGGTAAGATAGTCATAATTTCTAACCCATCTCTATGCATCCTTTTATACCTGACACAAATTACTCTATTGAAAAAATGATTACTGGTATAAGCAGTCTATCTATGTTCTACCCACTGAATGAAGGGCATCAAGAGACAACAATGAAAGAGTTGTAGTATAAGTCCATTTGGAATTGGCTGTACATTGCAATTGAACATATGTGCAGCTTAACCTTCCATTTCATGAAACTAAGCACAATGACTTTCCAAACCAGCCTAGGCATTTAATTGATGTGTTTCCGTTAACTGATTAGCATTTTGATGGACTTTTGATGTTCCTAGATATCCGTGGAATACAAGACTTTTTGGATAGAGTATCTCAGCAGGGAATGGATGTAGCATTGCAGAAGGTAGAAAACAACATTAATAAGATGATCACGGGACTCTTTGCTACTCTACGCATAGAAGAGCTAAATCGCTACAGGGACACGCTGAGAAGAGCCATTCTCATTATGAGCCCAACAACTGCCAAATCCTTCATTACAGAGGTAAGAAATAACCTAAACTGTTTTTATGGCTGTTACTTTCTTTAGTATTTCTGTATGAGCTCATGGTGCTGCAGCTAACAAGCCAGTCTAGTACAAACGTGTATACCAAAATAAACACTCTTAATTCTGTGCTCAGCCTAACCAGAAGATACTTTATGACGCAGACAAATACAAGTACAATCTATTGCTCTGACAAACATGTACATTTATGGTAATGTGCGAACTTCCAAGAATGATAAGTAGGCTGTTGCTTGCTCTCTGAACCATATTTCAAATAGACATCTTAAGCAATGGAAGCAGTAGATATGGCAATTTACATTAGACAATAGGCATGAAACAAAAAGGATTAGAGCATTTCTAAATTGAATTTCCAGAAGCTGCTTCCACTTTCCTGCAATGTTTTATTTCCTTAAAAAGATGGGTAACAGACTTTTCATTCAAGCTCATTAATAAGAGTGAATATTAAGGAGGTGTCTTGGCTTAAGTATGGCTCAATGGGTCATTTCAAGGACATTCAAACTAGATGTTCTAAATGCTTTCAAGAAATAAATTGATTTCCCATGTGATGTACATTTGAAGATATATGTCTTAATAGTCTCTGCATTATGTGCGCATGCATAAATACCAGTTCATGGCAATTTACATATGAAAGTGTACGTGGCGCTTCCAAGAAATCAGGGTAACCATAGAGAAAACATCACTCACAATCTTATACAACAGTACACTCTGTAAAGCCAAATACTACATTGTTTTCTAGATACTATACCTTGTTAGTTGTTTAGTAGCAAATGGACATAATAGCTTTCAACATACACAAAGCCAGAAGGTCACTGTTACAAAAGTGACTGAGGCTTCCATGAAACCAAACTGAGATCTTAGTACATTCATATGACTTGCAATGAAATGTAGAAATTATATCAGGGAAAATCCAGATCCATGATACATAGGATAGCAGGTCAAAACAGAAGATCTAACTATAAATCTGTAGGTACAACCCAAGCAAGCTTTGATCAGCATACTGTACAATTCTCTCACTATGACTATGGAATACATAAGTTCCAAAGTAGCATATGACATCTCGGATGTTAAATACATTCCAGAGGTGACAGTCCCCAAGTTTCTTACAAAGGAAAAGAAAGCAATGTGAAAAGTGAGAATCGTCTTTGAGAATATGGCCAACTTACAGGAGAGGTAGACAGAGCTTCTAGTGTCCATTTTGTAAGTCTTAATGTAGCTTTATGAAAATGACTAAACATCTATGACAGAGAGTACTCTCCTTCTCTCTTTTGGTCTTAGTTGTTTAGCAGTTCTGAGAATTTTGGAGCATTTTTAGCATTGATTAACATGTAACTTAAGCCAAAACTCTCTTTAGTTTTGGATAGAGTTGAGAAGGAATTTAGATTAGAACACCCATCATATTTTTTATTGCTGTCTGTTCCTGAGATTCACCTCCCTATTTGTTCTGCTGACCATTTTCACTAAAAGTGAAAGACATTCCCAAAGTTTAGGTTGTCCCCAGAACCAGAATAGATGGGAAATCTTCCAGGGGGGGGGGGGGCACTAGTTATGGTGACTGGGGTGGCAACCAGGAATTTCCTTCACTTTGGAAGGATTTCCTCTTACTTCCTGTTGTGGCTATCTGACAAGAATAGAAGGAAAATCTCCCCAATGGGACAAAGGACAAACAAAAAATCTGACGGGTTATAACCCTCCCTTACTCTATCCACAACTAAAACAAATTTGGCTTCACTTCTACTTTCAATCTGTAAAAAAAACACAAAGGGGGTTATTCACTTAGCTGCCGAAGGCTGCCGAGTTAATAACCCAGCCAAAGGGAACGACGTTCGGATATTCACTCCGGCTCAGTACAGCTGATTTCAGCTGTACATCGGCTGAAATCAGCTGTACGTTGGCTGCCTTCGGTCAGCCAAAAATGCTCTGCATGTTTGGCTGAGCCGAAGTGCAGAGGGACTTCGACTCAGCCGATCCAACATCTGGATTGGCTGAGCCGAAGCTCCGGCAGCTCATTCGCTGACGTTCTATTCTCATAGGGGCTGAACAGCAGTGAGTGAATAGCCGAATGCTGCTCCGAGGTAGCGAGTTTAACATCTAAACAAGGTAGCAAAGTAACAGTTTTAACTATTCAGCAGAGCCTGATCACCTTACCTTTCCAGTGGTGCGGGCTCTGAATGCATCGCTGCTTTGGCTGGTGGCCATGCTGCTCACTGTTGTGCTGTTGTCAGTATCACTGTTGACATCCCCACTGATGATTAGAGTCAAGAGGAGAGTCAATTGACTGAGTGGAGAAAGTCTGTGAACTCCCATTCGCTGATCATCTTAACAGTGATAGAACCTGAAAGTGCTCGCTCCTGGGTACTTCCGGGTTTATGCTCAGTATCCCAGCACCAAGCTCAGTGAGTAGAGACATGGGACTTCTTGTCCCTGACCCCCATTTAAAGAACAGAGAGGAGGCATCAAGGATCTGTTTAGAGCTCTGATATCTACACAAAGCAAATCTGTCTCCCACTGCAAGTGAAGACATGACCTCAAGGTCATTTGATCACTTCTTGAACCTCGAGAGAGCCATAAGCCTCTGTGATAAGGTCCCATGAATTCTGCCACATAAGGTCTCACCAGTCCCCATGTGACAGTAAAAACAAAAGTTTAAAAAAAGTTAGAAGAAAAAATCAGGAGAAAAAGTTAACCTAACCCTTTTACTACTGGTAGCCTGCTGCATGAAGGTTAGGCTAATCTCAAACTTGTGATCTGACCCCTCGCAAAATTTCCCAAGTGACAGGAATGAAAGGCATTGGGTGAAACACTAACCTGCTTGTGTGTGTTGCCCCCTTGCCTGCAGGATGAGTGAGGCATTGTTCTTTTGCTGGTGGCAATGGAGTGTTCTCCCTGAATTTTATAGTGATCTGGCTGCTTGCGCATTGTCTGATTGACTGTGCCATTAGCCTTTACAGTGGCTGCATCCCTTTACACTATTCAGTTCAGTGAACATGAACATATAGCAGAGTGGTGCCCAAGACCAGAGTGGTGCACAGGGGACCATTTAACTTGAGCCTAATGGCCAATCCCTAGGCCCTAGCACTGTCACATGATAGAGGGGGTGAAGTAACATTTTCCGGTTACTGCTGCAATGGAGGAGAAGGTGGCAGGGGATCTGAGTATCTTTAGGTTTGGGAAGTCTTTTCACAAACACTGTCACTTTTCCTTAAATGTTTGTAATTGTTTCTCTTTATCATGTGTTGTTTCATGCATTGTGTTAAGGTTGTGCTCTGCATGTTCGGTTGAGCCGAAGTTCAAAACGAGTTCGACTCAGACGATCCAACATCTGGATAGGCCGAGCCGAAGCTCCGGCAGCTCACTCGCTGCCATTTACCCCTATTCCCATAGGGGCCAAACGGCAGTGAGGGAATAGCTGAATGCCGCTGAGCGGCATTTGGCTCGGCTATTCTGCTTGGTACCTCTGAGGTAGTGAGCAGAATAGAAAACAAGTGAATAGAATGAAAGAAAATTAAAAATACTTTTAAAAAAATGTTAAATAGGAAAATTAAAAAATAAAAATATTTTTAAGAAAAAAAATTTAAAATAATAAAGCATATGACAGATGTCAGCAAAAAAAAAACAATTGGGCAGAGTTAGAGGTGACAGCTGTTTCCTAATAGCCGGTCCCTAATCCCTAAACTCCTAATAGCTGGTAATAGCTAGTCTTCTAGCAGGTCCCGACCAATGAATAACAACTGGGCGGAGCCGGCCATGATGTGAAAGCCGGCTCCGCTCAGTTGTTATTGTTTAATGACAGATCAGCATCCCCAGGTCATTTGGGAATGCTGATCTGTCATTACAACTGGACAGAGCGAGCTGTGAGATCACTGATGGCTGTGCCCGGCTATCGTTTGCGTGGAGATCAGTTGGCCTTTCTCCACACTTCGACTGTCACTGCAGCTCAGTTTTTTATTTTTAAATGGGGGTCCCTCCTAATATTTATAACGTTTGGGAGGAGGACTCCACGCTGTGTTTGTTTATTTGTTTACATATTGCGGAGAGAACAGTCTGCTTCGGGAGACTGTTCTCCCCACTTTGGCTGTGTGTAAAACTCAGTCGAGCCGACGCATATGTCTTCAGCTCGGCTGAGCCGCTCGGCTGCTTTCAGCTGCTGTATGGGCTATTGTGAATAGCCCATACAGCAGCCTTTCAGTTCGACTGAACCAAAGGGTAGAGGCGGCCAAAGTGAGCCGAATAATCAGCTGAAGCTACGACTGGATCCTTCAGCTCTTAAGAGAATAACACCCTTACTTTTTATCTCTAAAACTTTGTACAAATTGTTTAGTACTTGTGTTTGTGTGTGCTAATAATGATTTTAGTAAATTTACTGGAAATATTATTTTGATAAACTGCTGTTAACTATCCTGGGATGTACAAAATCAGCAGCACCATCTTTCAATTCTATAGATGCTGTGCTTTAAGAAAATATATGGTTTGGGGCTTTTACAAACATTAACACCTGTAAAATAAAAATTTGGAAAATAGCAAGAACAAACTGAAAAAAGTACAAAAATTATTAGACCCCCAGGGGAGAAAAATGGGAGGCAGGTCCCAACAGTGAACTTAAATGGGTTATAACACAATCTAAGGATAATATTGAGATTTACAAAATGTGTTCCCAATCTTCCAAATCTAAAAAACATTTACTGAAAGTAAATACATTAACAGAAAAGTACATATGTCTTACTACTTGCAAAACAATTATATCATGATATTTTTTTCTGTACACAGTTTACTGTACATGGTATACAGTATCTGAATTTGTTTAGCTATAGCAAAAGCAGATACATTGGTCTTATTACACAATCCTGAAGTCACAGTTCTGCACTGTATGATTATTTTGCTGTCCCTGCACATGAATTACTCAAGGTTATTCTCCACATAAATTCTTGGTAAATTGAGCCCTTGAAGTTCACTGCACATTTTTTATGATTAGTGAGCATGTT